AGATAGGTCTTTCTTTTTTTTTTTTAACTCTGAACTTTTCCCTTTGCTGTTTTGTACTGTTTTTAACTAGTGCTTGAATGGTTTTTACTCAGTTTCTTCTCCGTTACTAGATTTGTTTAAACTTTAGTCATCATCTTTCTGTCAGACTTTTATGTAGTAGAGAGGATATGTATTTTTTCAGCTCGTAGAACACGTGTTTTGATAATATGGTACGGCAAACACAGGCCTCTATGTCAATTGTGTTTCATCCCATCTGTGTCAGTTGATCATACCAGTGCTATTACCATGCCTGTCTTGGTAGTTTTTTAATTTACACTTAACTCCTTATACTGATAAGACTATATATAGTTAAATTTCCATTTGAAAACCTTTGAAATTTTTTGAATTATCATGGATGAGGAAGGAGAAGGATACTAATTTCTTAGTTCATCAGTTAAAATAAGCACTTTTTGAAAAAGCCCGAGTGTCTTCAGTGGGTGGTTTCTTCTTAATTTGTGCATAAGCTCCCTTTTCACTACTGAGTGGCTCACTCTAAGATGTATCTCACTACATTATTTACTCAACTACGATTTATCCTTTTCCAGATATAATCAGGAAATTAGACTTGGAAATAGTGATTTTTATGTTGGTCAGACACAGTTGGACTTTTGCGTGTATCTCGAAAATTAAATGTCGAGTTTGTGTTTATAATAGTTGATCTCATTACAAACTGTGAAAACATTTATTTCAAGTATTCTAGAGTTGTGTAAGATCAATTCAGTGACACCAGTTTTGGATAACATTGGCTACTGTAACACGTAAAAATCACTTAATGCTTTGTGTCTAAAATTTAATTTTGTTTCTTAATATTTAAATGCATAAAAATCAACAAAAAACAGCTGTCAGGCTAAGAGAAAGGACTTATTACAAGTTTTTATGTTGTTTTTTAATACATCCTTAGTGACTTTCAAGTCCTAGCAAATATGAGAGTTGAGTGTACACTATATACACATGTAAATTACATTTAATAAAGAAATAAATCAAGAAAATTTGATAATTAATAGACAAGATTAAATATAACTGCTGTAATATTCTTAAGTAATTTTAATCCAGTGACGATTAGAATCCTAGTTAATGTACATGTATTTCTGGAGATAAATACCTAATCTCACACTTCTTGTTACCATCAGTTTTTTGTTGTTGTTTTTTGCAGTAACTTCTTAGTAGGTTCATTAACCTGCTGTTATTATTTAGGGGTTGACTGTAAAGTTCCTTGGGTATAATTTCTGGAGCTATGATGCTTCACAGAAGTACAATTATATTTTAATCCTGTGATTATACATTTGTCTTTATGTAATTTTTGCATTATGAGTAATGTTGTGTGTGTCATCGTTATGAATTAGCTTAATTGAAATATGGCAAATTAAAAAAGTAACTTAAAAGTGTCGTAGATTTATAAAAGGGTATTTTATGGTTTCAGGACCGTTTTGGTTATACAAGTGGAATTTTTTGTGAAATTAACTTTGTGTGATATAGGTTTGTTCACTTTAAAAAAATTGTATTTAAACTAATTTTAATTTTCTATTGGCTAAGGTTCAGTGATTGGTTGCTCTATTCATGCCTGTATTTTAGATAAATCTCGGCAATATATGACATGATGTACTGATAATAATGAAGAGGAGCGTGTTGCTTCAAAAATTTATGTTGCAAATTTTTGTTAAAGCCTTGATGTATTGCATGCTGTTTATTCTTTAACATTAGGATATTTTTTAATGGTCATTAGTTTTTATTAAGTTGTATTTAGTGTGGAATTGTAGTAATTTGACTTTTCTGTTTTTCGACTTGCTGGAATGTGCTGAACTCACACTTATATTTGTTCATTTTGTAATAGTAACTAAAGTAGTTTAAAATAAAGTAAATGAATTTGTTAATTAATTTATGTTTTGAAAGAATCAATAATGAATTGTAAATATTGTTAATGCAGGTTCATATAGAGGATGGAATCCTTTTCAAGAAAGATTTTCACAAAAATATTGGCATAGACCTCTACCTAGAGATCAACGTAGATTTAACTTGGACTCAAGGAATCGTTTAAGACAGCAAGAATATATAGGCCAACCAGATCCAAAACACAGAAATTATTTCTCACCACAGACTAGTTCAACTTTTAATAGTGGTCCTTCAAGAGGAAAGATATTGAAAAATAAAAGATTTGTATCTTACTACTATACTTCAGAACCCAAAACAGAAGTTGAGAAGCTCGAAACAAACTTGGAGTCAACCAGTGAACAGAGAGATTCATCTGAAAAACAAGCACCTCAGAAATCGAAATGTAAATTATCTACAGTTGTTGTGGAATCTTCAGAGAATATTCCAGTTGCAAACACTGAGGCTGGTACTAGTGGAAATTTGGGAATTTTTCTAGAAAGTTCAGAAAATAAAGTTTCTGAATCCAAAGAGAGATTTCTGACTCATAAAACTAAAAAGTCTGAATGTTGTGTGACTGAAAAACCGGAGACACAAAAACATAATGACAGGGAACAACAGAACCAACGTTCTGTTGTAGACCAAAGCTCTTTCAGCGAGAAAGATCAAATAGCTAAACAGAAAATATTGAAAATTAAAGATAAATCTTGCAAGTCTTCTGCCAGTTCTGAAGTTAAACTAAAAGCTGATTTTGATATACTTTCCAATAGTACATTAAAATTACAAGAAATGAACCCATCTGTAGAAAAGAAAGTTTCTCCTGGACTGAGCAAAGAAAAAACTTGTTTTGATGATCTTCCCAAAACATCAAAAAAGAGTTTAGGTGGAATGGGTGGTTCTATTAGTAAAGAGAAAATGTTAAGTGAAAAAACATTCAGCCATATTAGCGGTGTCCCAATGAAAGACAGTGTAAGTAATGTAAAGAAATCTACCTCTGAATTACAGAAAGAACATATTAAATCATCCTGTGAAAAAGGAGATTCCTGTAAAAATTCACCAAAGGCACCAGTGACTAATATTTTTACTAAGTTAAAACAAGAGGGTAGAGCTAAAATGAGTGCACCCTCTAAAGGGGATCCTATGCAGAATCAAGCACTTTTAAAGTTGGCTGTTAGCAGGGAGACTACAAGCCCAGCGGCAATGATTCGGCAAGCGCCTCATGATAAGAGACCTATATCAGCTAGTCTACCCCTCTCTAAAATGGCTGGTTTAAAAAATATCCTTAATTCATTCATGAAAACTTCAATCAGCCAAGTATTAAGAACCAAAATTGATTCCCAGTCAGAAACCAGATCCGAAAGCAGTGATCATTCCTCAACCCACTTAAGTGAGTCTTTAGAAAAAAGTGACTCAAAAGTAAAAAATGAGACAAAAGACAAGGTTGCTGAAACTGTGGAAAAAACTGTAAATACTGGGGAGACTCCTCATGCCGAAAATGAACAGAGAACTTCTGGTAACTCAAAAGAAGAAGAACACACTAGTGAAGATCATCCTGATGAGAGTTGTGCAGACAGAAGTAGAATAGAATCCCTCAGTTCACCCCAAGCCAGACAACCAATTAAAGCTAGAAAAACTTGTCCAATTTCTTCAACTCCAAAATCACCAGTTCCGCCAACTTCCTCACCGGTTCCTTCAACTCTTGGAGTTTTACAGAATGCTGTATTAACAAGACAACAAACAGTTTTGAAAGCAATAACTGGGAAGAAGAAAAAAAAATCGAGGCATTTCAAGGGAGCTACCTATGACTTGTACTTGAGTAAAAGAAAAAAGAAAAGCAAAGAGAGATTAGGTGAATTTTCCCAACATAAGGATGATGCTTCTAGCATAGCTGGTACAGAAACAACAGGTAGCTATATTGATTCGGAAGAAGAAAGTAGTAGAGGAAGTGAAGAACTTAGAACTTCATCAGAACTATCTTTTCAAGATGATGAATCTGATTACAGTCGTTTGTCATCTGGAAGAAAGAGTGCTGAGATACCCACAAATGAGAATCGTGATTATGTTAAAACAGAAACACCCGTTTTTCAAAGTGAACAAAAACCTGAAGGGTTGAGTTTAGGAGACTCTCTAGAAAAACAAGACACTGAAGACAACTTGATAGACAGTAAAATCCAACATCAGCATGTAGGTGAAACTAGTAAAAATGAGCAAATGGAGGTTTCAGATAGACCGTGCAGTCCTGTTACTTCACGCTGTCATGAAGTAGAAAGAGTTGAAGAAATGGAAGTGGACAACGAAGACTCCATTCCTACCAATGCTGACACTAAAGAAGATGCTGCTGTCCTACCAACAGAAGAACCAGCTGTTCCTGAACCTTCAGACGTAGTGGTTGATAAGAACGTTAAAAAGGCTGAAGAAGTTTCCATAATGAAGGAAGCTTCTGATGAGAATTTGATGGCAACTTCTGAAACCATTGAAAATGGTTCTTATGGTATGTTTTGAAACTTTGTTTATTTTTGATGACATTTTGTTATTCATTATTTTAGTTTAATTATTTGTTGAATAGTTTTTGCTTATTAAAACTTTTTTTTCTGATGTAGACAGTGCCACCTGTGTTAGTTTGATGAGATAAGAGTGGTAGTCGATTGGTGAACTCAGAAATTGCCAGTTTTATTTTTCCTCCAAAGCTAAGTTACTACACTTCGGCTGCAGTTAATGGCGTGAATTGGCCGGTAATAACTTGATAACTTTATCAAGTTAGCACAAGTGCCATTTTATGTTGTTTGAGGGCAGAAAAAAATGGTATTTTGGACAGCTAGCTGTCAGGCTATTAAATAGTTAGCACTTGTTTCCCGTTCTTGTTTTTAAAAAAATTATTCATGTTCTTTTTGTCAAAGTTTAAAATGTATCCTTTGTTTAAATGTAAGGCATGAAACAATGTGAAAATTGTATGGAGTTTAACTGTGAGACTCGTGAGGTGTGAAGCAGTGTGAAATCTGTCTGGCATTTAAATGTGAAGCACATGTGAGGTGTGAAGCAGTGTGAAATCTGTATGGCATTTAAATGTAAAGCACATGTGAGGTGTGAAGCAGTGTGAAATCTGTCTGGCATTTAAATGTGAAGCACATGTGAGGTGTGAAGCAGTGTGAAATCTGTCTGGCATTTAAATGTGAAGCACGTGTGAGGTGTGAAATGATGTGAAACTTGTATGGAGTTTAAATGTGAAGTCAAATTTATCATTCAATGTACCATTTATCACTGAGATTTGGCATCACATTTATGTTTTACTATTTTAAACAGGTTGCCTGGCCTGAATGATTCATTAGATTAAATTATTAGCATCAGTGCTCCATACTCTTGAAATTCTCTATAAATATAAGATTACTTCAAAACACTGTACATCTGTATGGAGTTTTGTGTTGTTTTTTTTGGGGGGGGGGTTCTTATATGTGGCTTAACGATTTTTAATTTATTCTTTATCAAATGTATTTATAATGTTTATTATATCCTAAAATTCAGGGTGTTTTTTTTTTCCTGAAATCAAATTACACATTTAACTTTCTTTATTCTAAAACCATCAAGTTCTCAGCCTAAACCCTTGGGGAGCATTGTTATATCATTGTAGATTATATGTAAAAATATCAAAAATTATATTAACTAAAATTAAAGAAAGAAGAAAAAAATCGTTTAGTTTGACTGAGACAAATTGAGAAATGAACACTTGTTTACCAGATGGTAAAAGGTAAAGCATGTGAGCCCGTTAAAATCTTTTTTTTTTAATCTATTTCATTCTTTGATTTTACAGTCCCAATGGATACAAAATCTTTTACTTCAAGTATAGCATCAAGTGTGAAAAGTAGACAGAGAGTAAAACGGCATTTGTTAGATGACCACGTTGACATGGACTCCTTGAGCGTGTCGTCGTCCGTCTCCACAGGTTCGGACGTATTTGGACAGAAGAAGGCCAAGAAAGGTACCATGAAAGCTGCATTGTTAGCCAAAGATGCCACTCACTATCTTTAGATTATATGCTTTATTACACACATCATTTTTTTTATATAAATGAGAGATAAAAAATTAACAAATATGATAAATTTTTTACTTCACGTGTAAGTCACATTTTTTTATTATTATTATTAAAGAAACACTAAAAATTGAAGTTGGGCGTTTCAAGAAACATTAATCTCTAGTCCAGTTTTATATTTATTAGTAGACAAAATCTTTCATCAGTAACTTTATGGGAAAGAAAATTATAATCTTTAACATATCTAGAACATGATTTTATTTTTTGATTAATTACAGTATTTTGATAGTAATCTTAATTCAGTATCATTTAAGTATCTAAAATGTGACTTTGTATGGAAATTATCTTGAAAAATTATAAATTGCATTTGGACTGAAGTAAACCACAAGAAAGTGTAATCTGATGTGGAAATCATCAAGAAATTATTTCAGATGTCTTGTTTAAAGCTGATCAATTAACTTAATTAATTAATTGATATAAATAAGTACCTATGAGCATTGATTAGATCGATTGGTGTCATGTAAAATAATCAATTAATTGAAATTATGATTAAACCAATTAGTGTCAACAAAATAATAAACTAACCTATTAGTGTTTCTGATTGTTCAAACTATCCAAGTAATCGCAATACTGCCTTTATGGTTTCTCATTGTTATTTTTCATAAATTCAAGAATGTTCAACATAACCAAATAGTGACGTGGCTCATGAAAATAATCGACTAATCAAAATTATTGTTCTAATTATCACAGTTTTTTTTTGTAATTTCACATCTCCATATCGTATATGAAAAATAATTAGTTGAACGTAATCAATTAATAAGTCTGGTGAATAACTATGGTAACTATGATTCAACTATTATTAATTTAACCAAAGTACCTTTACTTAATGTTTGGTGTAATTATAGCTTTTCGTGGCACCATCGGTTCAGCGGTTGTTGTCCCAAGTCCTGCTGGTGATGCAGGTCCTGGACTCTTGCCTCGTGTGGAGATTGTGGTAAGTGAATATCATAATACACTTTTCTACTTGCTGTGAACTTGTCAGTATTTTCTGGAAGTTTTATCGAAGAGGGTTCGATCACAAATGACCATATAAAATTTAGAGAGGTTCAGGGAGGAACTGTTTCATTTCGTGTGTTTATTATTTAAGATGAAGGACTCTTCTAAACCAAAAATGTTCATAATTTAGTAAACGAGAAGCATTATTTTAGCTTTTCATGTTCTTTTTAGTACATCATGTCAATGACTAATTTCAATATTGATTATGTTGTTTGGTTACAATGCAAGTTTCATTGGCCTTCAATTTTTATGATGTCATCACAATGTCAAAATATTATTTTTTTAGCTGCATAACATAGTGTTCAGTGTGTTTACATGATTAATATTGAGCTTGTAAAAGAATGATAAACTTCTTGAACAGACTTTTTGCACAATATAATATTAAGAAACTTAACTCTTATTTGGCAGTTTCACCTGTATTAAAAGTGAAGACGTAACAAATGTTATTGTCTTTGAGTAGAATTTTTGTTTAATTTGAAAAATGTTCACTGAGTTAGTGCAAAATTTATCAACTGTAAGTATTACTGAAAATTCATCTTGTGAGCCTTTCAAATAACATTTTACAATCTAAGTTACGTACCAGGTGATACCGAGTTCCATTTACAGGCAGGTAATTCGTAAGTGGAGAGGTGTATGTAAAGAAGTGTTAATGTGGTGGAATGAGTATGGTGGGCTTACCCATGAAATTATCGGAGGTTATTCAAGGTAGCCATCATACACCAAAAATGTCAATTGTAAAGTGCAGAAAATACCAAATGAAGCATTTCACACCAATAACTACCAAAATCACTCCCCAATAGCAACAGTTTTAGGCTTAAATGTAGATAAGGCAAACATCCTCAGCAGTTTAATGAAATGGGTGCAAACAGCCAGTATCTGTGTTGAAAGCATGCCCGTATGGGACAGTATGGTGGCTTTATTGTCAATATTTCCGAATGTCTTTCCCTGAATACACTTGTACGAGCCATTGACACGCATTTCCCA